GGATTTCCATTTTAGAGTAGGAAGAAGGCTGGGAGATGGCCAGCCAGGAAGCCAAGACTCCTAAACTGCCAGAATATTGTCTTGAGCCTGCAAAGAAAGCAGCCAAAGGTGGCTTCAGACTTTCATAAGCTATGTGTAGAATTGCACAATTGAGCCCCATAGCAACCTTTAGAGGCCAAGGTCATTCATTCATTCATTTATGAAATCAAAGTCACCTCTGGAATTCTAACCTACTCAGCAGCTTTGCCTTGCCTTCACATGCAAATGGCCTAGCCAACCCAGTGAGAGCCAGTGGCATGAGAGGTGATTTCTGTGATCTCTACCAGTAAATACTACAGTAGCAGAGCAAAAGCCCTATGTTGGCCACAGAGAAAGCCTCTGTTCATCACACTCACCCAATAAGAGATGATTCTAATATGATAAAGAGAGGAAAGGCCTCTCTCATTAAGTTTCTGGTGGCTTTAAAGCCAACTGGTAGTGCTCAACACTGTTACCTTTCTTTCTTCCTCCTGTTCCCCTCTTTAAAACTCCATCACCCCTATGGTTAGAACAGTTGCAACCCCAGGGTTTCACCTAGTATAGCCTCAGTAAAGGTACCTCCTTCAAAATAGCTTTGCAAACCCATGCAAACAAGAGGGAGACAGAACTTGGGGGGCAGGGGACACAGGAGAGAAAGGAAAAAGTGTCAAGAGGGGAAACAGCAGCCAAACTGAACCCTGAACTGCAAAGTGGGGCTGCCTCAGCCTCTGAGTAAATGGCAAGCTGCAGGACAGGGACCAGCCCACCACTTCCCTGACTTTACCCCAGCAACCAGGCTCAAGTTATTAGTTTTGCGCTACTGCCTTCCACAGAACAGGAAACATAATGTTTAGTTGTTTCACTGATGTAAAAATTACCGTCAATCATGACATAAAGTGGCCATTCTTGAGCATTTTGACTGTTAAAAACACATTTTGTACCAGACCTGGTGGCACAGGCCTGTAATCCCAGCTACTTGAGATGCTGGGGTGGGAGGATCACAAGATTGAGGTCAGCCTGGTTCACACAGTGAGACTCTCTCAAAAGAAAAAAAAGAAAGAAAAGAGGGCTGAGGATGTAGCCCAGTGGCAGCATGTGTTAGGCCCTAGGTCCAATCAACTGGAGGGGGCGGGGAATAACAACTGACCAAACAAACAATAGCAACACCAACGAAAAAAATTCACTATGCACAGTGACCTAAATGTCTAGAAGAGGTAGCTAGGGATATATTTTTACCAGCACTCCATCCGTTTCCCAGCATTCAGTGGGTTGGGGAAACACTGAAAGAATTATACTTTATTAAAGGTCAGTGCAACTCAGGTCACATTCCAATTTGGGAACAACTTAGCAGTCTGAGTCAAGCCTCAGTTTTCTCATATGCAAAATAGGATCATAATATAGCATTATTTAAAGAATTTTTAAAAAACATTTAAAAAGAATAATAAAGGTCATGCTTCACAGTGACGATGGTTCTCTTTAAACTGAAGATGTCAGTGCATTACAGAAAGCTTCTGAGTCGAACAGGCCCAGAAAACTGCCTTGGCTTCAACTCACTGCAATGCCCAGGGCAAAAGGTCACCCAGGCTCTTGTATAACCCCTTCAGTGACCAAAAAATCAAGTATCTCCTCTCAAAAAGCAGTCCAATCCTTTTCAGAGTTTTTATTATGAGCTCTTTGTTCCTTACATTGAACTGAAATATGCCTTGGGTAACAGAACAAATCTAATCCATTTTCCACATGACAAGGTAAGGCAATTAACTTAAGGAAACTGGGAGGAGGGAGGGAGAAGAGTCTAGTTTCTCGGAGGTATGAGGTGAGCAGTTTTATTTTCTGCATATGTCCATCAGGTTGTTGATATGCAGGCTTGATCTGGTAAAAGATCATTTCTACAGTATGATGTAAAGCTGTGGAGAGCAATGGTATTACCATCTCAGGATGAGAGCCAATGAGGTGTTTAGAGACAAAGTAGACAGAACTTTCAAAGCAGCAAGCAAGAACCTTGTAGAAACACAGATGGTGAAGAGAGGTCAGACTGGTTTTGAAGAACCAGTGAGCCAGTCACTGAATATGATGGCCACAAGGTCACTGCTGATCCCTGGCAACGGCTCCTCTGGAGCCTTCTTGGGCTGCTCAGGAGTCCTATCACCAGGCTGAAAAGCTGGTACTTATGTCATGTGAGGCCACTGAAAAAAGTGATTGGAAGAAGTGGCAGCAGAAAGTATAGATGATCTAAAATTTCCCAGTCTGGATCTTAGGAGGATAGGCTTCTGAAAATGATATACCTTTGTTCATATATCTAGGGGGCAACACTGCCTAAGGCTGTTTTCTGAACACTAAGAACAGTGAAGGACCCAGTTCTTGGGGATGGGAACATAGCTCAGTCAGAAAAGTACTTACTATGCAAACATGAGGACCTGAGTTCAGTTCCTAGCACTTGCATAAAAATGTCGGAGATGACAGTACATGCCTGCAATCCCAGTTCTGGGGAAGCAGAGGCAAGAGGATCCCTGGAATCACTGGCAGTCAGCCTGCCCCCCACATACACACACGAACACACACATGCACATGCATGTGCCTGCATGCACATGCACGCATACACAAGTATGCAGACGTACAGTTGAATGCACACATACACAACGGACCCCATTTTTCTCTGCTTAAGTCTCCATTTGCCTAGTTTGACTATAGGACTTGCTTTTCTACAGTCATAGTAATCTTTTAAGGAACTAGTGCTTCCTGCCACAGAATTCAGTGAAAAGAGAGGAGGTAGTAGTTTAAGGAACTATTGGTATCAATGGAATGCTTTTTTTTTTCTTTTTAAGAATGTAAGAAACAAGCTGAAGCTAGTTGTGCAGGCCTGTAATGCCAACTACTCAAAAAAGCTGAAGCAAGAGGATCATAAATTCAAAGAATGTGTTGGGTTACAAAGTGTGTTACAGGCTAGCCTGAGCAATTTAGTGAGACCATGTGTATCTTAAATTAAAATAAATAAATGGACGGATAGATAGATAGATAGATAGATAGATAGATAGATAGACAGATAGATAGATAGATATAGATAGATAGGGCTGAGATGTGGCTGAGTGATGGAGTATTGCCTAGCATGTGGCCCTAAGTTCAAGCCCCAACATCCCCCCCCCACCACACATGAAAGAAACAAGTGTGTTCACATACAGAAGAAACAGAACCACAAGTACAGTATGAAGGCTGCAGCAGGGACAGAGGACAACAGGCCAATGGGTTAACCCAGGAAAGGGCTCTGGCTCCCAGCTGCAACCATAAAACATTATTTCTCCCCTGGTTGCATCTAGTGATGGCAAGCAGTTCTTATTCTAAATCCTATCTACTCTCCTCAGAGGACAGTTATCTAGGCAAGGTTAGGAGCAGATTATATAAACTGATTCACTAGAAAGAGAGTCACGGTCTTTCCCTTCCTTCCCAGAGTCCAGCTGAGTGGATACCTTGCCCAAACCACAGAAGGGTGCTCTACATCAAGAGCCAGTGCCCAGTTCCCCTACCCAAGCAGGGACAGCACTAGCAGAGGCTAGGCGGAGAGGAGAGATCTAAAAATAAAGCTCTCTGAAGGAACTGTCTTGCCTAAAGAGAGCTTCCCACGCACACTGGAGTGCCACATCTGCGGGGGCTGGAAGCACAGAACGGAACAATCCTGACCAAGTCACATAAGTATCACCCACTTTGGGAGGTGACAGCACATGATGGTTCTCCCATCAGAGACCCACTGTCCATGTTGTAGATCTCAAACAAGGGCTTTAGTGACCACCAAAAGGCCTTTCTTCTCCACGAGGGAGACTGGAAAGACAGTTGGGCCTTGCCAAGCCTCTCTACCCTTCTCTGCTGCCAGCAGGAGGCAAGTGCAGCAAATGCTCTCCACCCACAAAGAGTAGAGTGCAGGGTTCACTTTAGAAAAGAGCTCAAAGGGTTCTGTTCTAGTGGGCTTCAGATGCACAAAATCTCCCTAGGCTGACTCTCTGCAGCAGGGTCAGTGACAAGCAACTGTGGAAAAAGAAAAGCTAGCACGTGAGAACTGCAATTAGCATTGACATCAGCTAGCTCCCGTCATTTCACACCCCAAGGACACAGTAATTGTCATGTTACCAGGCAACTGGCCTCTCCTTCCCGCCTCCAGCAAGTATCAGAGGCCACCATAAAATGTTCAACCAGTTAAATAAGCCTGGAACTACTACTGGCTCTTCGGAGTAATTCCCACCACCTTTCTTTAAGGTGTCTGACCTTGGAGAGACACAATGGTGGCCAGATTGTTTGTTGGAGTTTTGCTCAAGATCCTGGCAGGAAGAAGGAAACTACCCCTAATACTAAGAAAAGTTCAGTGTCCCCTTATCAGTCTACCACCTGAAGGTTTTGTACTTTGACCCCCTCAAGGGTCAAAAGTTCAGTCTTTGGCCATGTTAGTGCAATGTGACCATCTGTCCCTGCCTTTCCTCTTAGGGAGTATATACCATCTTGTCCTATGATTCACATGCAGCAGGTGGAGAGAGGGGGATAGAGACATAGCAAAACATCCAGAATACAGCAACCTGCCAGTTCTTTGGTCTCTTAAGAGACCCTGTACTAGAACACTGTGATAACTGATATGCTCAGACACAAATCCTCTATCTATCACACATATGTGGAAGGAGAAGTGGAAGGGATGGGGATGCTGAGTTTGCCCCTCAAAGCACAGATTGCAAGCAACATGCTTTGAATATTCAGTGTTATTTGAATGCTGACTAGCAACAATCACCTAATAGTCGTACAATTAGAGCAAACTGAACATTTCCTGTACTGACTCATTCATGAGTGAAGAGGAAAAAACCAGTTAACAAAAGGGAGGAGATACTGACCATAAAATACACAGCCCGAGCACACAGTGCAAAGTGTAGTTTTAGTGCAGAGAGTACACAATCCCCACCCTACCAGTTAGACAAGAAAGACTAGGCCTGGTGCTCAGAGGGGCAACTTACCTGACATACAAGGACCTCTTCTCACTGGTTCGGAGAGACCCAGACCCAGAACTCATGCTGCTGTTCATCATTTGTTCTCGCAAGTCATGTATCTTGGATTCAAAGCGACTGTACTCTGTCAGGCGGACAAGGAGAAAGACAGGAAAAGAATGAACCCAAGGAGCGCTCTGGGCCAGCACACCCGTGGCCAAAAAGCCAGGAGGAGACTTGGCTTCAAAGCAGCCGGGAGGTAGAATCTTTGCTTTGATAAGCAGAGTCCCTCCTCCAAGTTGAGAAAGACCAACCCCCACCCGGGGGAAAAAAAGCACCTAGAAAAAAGTTGCATTTGGGCATGTCAAATAGAAACTGCTTTTATCTGCTTCAAAATCTCACTGATCCCTAAAAAATAACAACTGGAAAGAGGTTCCAGGGCAGCCTTTATAAATCCTTAGAGCAGGCACTAAGGCCAAAGGAGAGCAGATGGGCAAGGAGACTTTCCCAAAAAGCGGACTGCAGAGAACAGATGGCCCTGAGACGCAGGGCAGGGGGGCTGGAAAGGAGCAGAGGCTATTCCATCACTGTTAGGTAAGGAGGACAGTTTTCCCAGGATGACTTTTTAGTGGGGAGATAGCGGATCCCAGTACAAAGTCTAAAGAGAAACTACAATCATTTTTCAAGCATTAAATCGAAATGTCTCCATACACAACATTTTTCAGGTCCATAGCTGCTTTGTAAAAGGGGTATACTGAGAGACACAGGCTATAGAAATGACAGAAAACAAGGCATACTTCAGTGACAAGCTGACTTTAAAGGCAGTCAAAATTTATACTAGAGGTTGCAGGTTGGGCAGCTGCTTAAAAACACTTCCAGGGAAAAACTTCCACAAAAGCGTTTTTATGCACATACTGGGGCTGGCAAGAAGCAACCCCACCTAGTCTGTGTGACTCTGTGGGAGAAAACACAACACCTGCTCCAACACCTGCCCTCCCCCTCACCTCCCTCAGCTCCCTGGGCAAAGCAAGCTGACCTTCAGCTGGGTGAAAAGGGAAATGCTAAGGCTCCAAAGGGAGGAGGGAGTGGAGTTAAGTCACATAAATACCCTCTTCTCAAAGTTGATTTTTCTTCACTGCCATATCAATGAAGCCAACTGGTTAAATTCATGTGTTCTTTCATTCATCACGCACTGCCTGTTATGGTGATTTGTCCTCATTACTTACTCCTGTCCCTACAATCATGGAGGAAGCAGTTGAGTCACTGACTCACCAATTAAATGCGTGGGGGGGGGGCACCGCAGCTGGACATTGTCCCTGTTCTGAGACTTACAAGGCAGCACATCAATAGAAATAAGGTGTCCTAATCTAAATGTCGAAGGTGGGGACTGATTTGTCATAAAAGCCTTGGGCTGCTCAGAGAGAGGATACTGGCCTCACCCCAGGGCTGAGCCTCTAACCCTATTCAGGGATCATTTCTTGCTCCTTCCTTCTAGGCCCTCCGTTCTAACTCTCTCACTCAGGGACGAACCATGCAGGCAAGAGATTTAACCAGGCAGCACTTCCTTGGTGATGAATCAAAGAACTATACATGGAACCCGGAACAAGTCCTAGCACACTGGCTCATACCTGTAATCACAGCACCCAGAAGGCAAGTGCAGAAGGGTCATAAATTCCAGTCTAGCCTGAAGAATAGAGTAAGACCCTGCCTCATTAAAACAACACAACCCCCAAACTCAAAACAACAGCAGCAAAATGGCATCCAATCTATCTGCAAGCATTTTGCTCTTGCCTATGCATTGTCTTCTTTGGAGGTGACCCTGCCCACTGAACTCTAACTGAGCAGCAGCAGGTCACAGTGGTTGCTTAGTAACCGTGTTTCACACACACACACACACAAAATTCTTTAAAAACAACTACCAAACCACCATTTCCTCAAAACTCATAATCCAAGGTTGATAATTCTGGACCAGGAGACCCAAATAAACTAAGGGAGGGAAAGGGGAGCAGAGTTGCTGCTTTGAGGAATTTGTTATTGGTTTTCAAGTTCCTGAGGCTGTGTTATTAATTTTTCTTATTCAGATGAACCCCCTAGAGTGTCACTCCTTCTCAGTTTCTGGCTTCTATTTGGACAGTTATCTAACGTCCATAGGCACAGAGTAGCCTGTGCTAAATGACTGTTGAGTAAATGAGGGACAATTTAGAAAACTGTATTCAAGTGGAAGCATCTGTTATCAAACTAATAAAGCAAATGATTTATTTAACTGATGGGAGCCAGTTCACAGAGAATTTTCAAAGGTAATGAAGTACTGTGGGCTGGAGAGATGGTTCAGTGATTAAGAGCACTGGTTGCTCTTGCAGAGGGCATGAGTTTGGTTCCCAGCACCACATAGCAGCTCACATATGTCCATAACTGCAGCTCCAGGAGAATCGATGCTTTGGTTCCAGATGTTAACTATTGGGAGCCACTGAAGTTGTTCAACACCCTTTGGGGGCATTAATAACCCCCACTGGGCACCAAGTTAACATATCTACAGTGCTACAGAGGGAACTGAGGCCTCCTGCATGCTAGGCAAGCCCTTTCCCAGTAAACTACGTCCCAGACTGCTTAACAGACTTTGTATGGAACAAAGACAAAATGTCATTCCCACAAAAAAGCATGTGGAATAGACTCAAGACAGTGACTCTTAATATTGTTAAATATTTTCCCAGGACAAAAGCTATACTTAAGAAAAAAAAAACAGCTAAATTATGAGACTTTGCAAGATTTTTCCTTCCCTTCCACTTACCAGTAAAGCAATCATTATTTGCAGGGCATCTCTTAGGCCCAAGTCACTGCGTAGGAAGCCACTTGACCAGCCTTCCTTCTGAGAGGCCCCACTTCAAATAGGCTACTTTAAAGAAGCACCACCTATTACTAAAATCTCAACTCTATTAAACTGCACTTTATTCATTTTTCCCATTCAGATAAACCCAACCATTTGTGACCCACAAAGATATCCACAATGAGTCATACTTTGCTTCCTCCTTCCCTTTTAACAATGCTAATCACACAGAGAGAAAGAAGCCAGAAGGAGCACAAGTAGAAGCCAGTGCAGAAAGAGGGTTTCTCCGGGACCACAGCATGCCTTAAAATCAGAATTCTAGAAAGCCCCCTACCCAGCCTCTGATACACTATATCTGAAGCCACTGAAGAGAGCCGAGTCCTGGATTCTGCCTTCAAAAAGCATCGAGTATCCACGATGCCCCAAGTCAGAAAACAATGGTCTGGTAGAGAAGTCAGTTTGGTTTTGAGTAATGGCAAGGCAATGATCCTGCAGAAAGCTTCCAAAGGGAGGCATGGCAAGAGGGCTGGAATGCAGCCTCAAATAAAGCTGACAATATAATCTCAAATCCACAAAAAAAGGCAATGAAAAAGAGGCCATTGCCCAATGTGAGGTTTTTGGGTTTTTTTTGTTTGGTTGGTTTGGTTTGGTTTTTGGAGACAGGGTTTCTCTGTGTAGTCCTGGCTGTCCTGGAACTCTCTCTATAGACCAGGCTGGCCTCGAACTCAGAGATCCACCTGCCTCTGCCTCCTGGTATTAAATGTATACACCTGGCTTTGGGAAGTTTCTTTAAAAACTACAATAGTTTTTTTTTTTTGTTTTTTTTTTTTTTGCTTTTTGAGTTCCCACTCTGCTTTGTCTGTTGCATGTTGTGTTTCCTCACCCCAATAAATGCCTTTTCTCAACTGCAAAAAAAAAAACCAAACAAACAAACAAACAAAAAACTACAAAAGTAACGTGATTTGTTTTGAAAATTTTTCGGCACTGGAGGTCAAACCCAGGACTTCATGTATGCTAGGCAGGTATTCTACCATTAAGCCTCATGCCCAGCCCTTAACTTTAAAATAATATTTCCACTTTTTTCTTTTGAAATTTCGTAAGGTTTCCTCCTTCCACTATCCAGAAGCAACCACTGTTAGTGTTTTTCTTGTGTGTCCTCCCAAGCTTACCTCCATACATCTTTTATATCCATGTATTCACAGCTCACACAGATTCACATACATACTTTTTCATTCTCTGATATGTCACAGAAACCCTTTCACATCAGTACACAAATATAAGACCTCATACATATTAATGGACACATAGCATTGCATGTTACAGAGGCAATAAGGTATCTTATTCAGTCATATCCTGGTCAATGTATATTTTAAACTGTTTGTTCACTGAGACAGGGTCTTGCTATATAACCAGGGTATCCTACTGTTCACTTGTTGTATAGCCCATGCTGGCCTTCAATTCAATGCAATCCTGCCTCAGCCTCTGTAGTGTTGGGATTACAGGTGCACACCAACACTCACACCCTACAATGTTTTAATATTGCAATCAATGCTGCAATTGTATGAACCTGTCTGAAGTATAGATTTCCAAAAGTGAAAGTGTAGAGTCAGATGCACAATCAATGCATACCCAAATCACAGAGCTCAGGATACAGTATAGATAGTAGTAGAGCATTTGCCTATCATGCGTGTGACCCTGAGTTTCATTTCAGCCCTACAAAAAAAGCAAATTTTGATTGTCACTACTAAATGGAACCCCCAAATTCTGAAGCCATTCTGAAGCCCTTTTGACTGTGAAAATAAAATGATATTTGAAAGCTTCCAGAAGCTTTTAGGCTTCTGCAGGAATAAAGGCAGAATTTACCTTTGAGGAAAGACTGTCTTTCAGTTATACAAAGTAAAGGCAAGATTTTACTCTGGGACAGACAACTATTTCCTGGCCTTTTGGCTAAGCTGGAGTATAGGATAAGACCAAAAGGAGATAAAATGTTCTCTGCACAATAATGGAAAGGGTTGCTCTGCCGGTGGGTGTAGTTGCTGGTACTGTAGCATTAGGCCCCAGGCTACAGGTCTCCCTCTCCCTTTTCCAAGCACTGTTAATTCCTTATTTCAGCTACCACCTGTAAGATGTTCTACGTACCTCTATAAGCATCTAAGACTAGACTTGACCACCCAGTGTGCCTTCTCTTACTTGAAACCCAAGCTTTTCTTTCCTTACACTAAAATGTTCCAATGCTATAACTGACACCCCCACTTTTCCTGTCCATAGCCAACATGTTTCCTCAAGTTCTGTTTCTACTTGATCACATCATGTCCTCAATC